GCCTTGCACTGTAACACCCAAGGCCAATAACTTATACAAAGGGGTTTATTTCAACTCATAATCTTGGAGGTTTAGTACATGACACAGGTGCTTTAGGTTTGTCAGCAGAACAAAACCCACTTATCTCATGTCCAGGAAACAAGAAACAGGCACAAGGATCCAACAATTTCCTTCAAGGATATCCACCAAAAGACATACTAGGCTATACCTCTTAAAGGTGTCACTGCCTCCCAGTACTGTCAACCCAGTGAGCAAGGCTTTGACACATGGCCTTTTGAGAACAGCTATCCAAGCCACAGTAGCTCTGTCAGATGGCATGACAAACAAGTACAGGTGGACATTCTGTGAGATGTCACAAGCCACTGGAAGTCCAGTAGATGTCAGTGGATATAACATTAATTCTAATTATCTGGATCAGGACATGAGGGCCTGGAGATCCCACAGCCATCTTGATAGTGGGTGGAGAAGTAAGTATGGGGTTTGTTATTGTTTGAGACAGGGTCTCACTGTATAGCACTGGCTAGCATGGAACTCACTATATAAATAGAACAGGCTGGCCTTAAACTAAGAGATCTGCCTGCCTCTGCCTCCCAAGTGCTGAGATTAAAGGCATGCACTACCACCTCTGGCTTTTAACTTTGGTTTTAATTATTTCCCTGTGCACATGCCCACAGAGGCTAGAAGAGGGCATCAGATTCCCTGGAGTTGGAATTACAGGCAGTTGTGAGCTGCCTGATATGGGTGCTGGGAACCTAATTGGGGTCCTCTATAAGAGAAGTGTGTCCTCTTAACCACTGAACCATCTCTCCAGCCCACCATGATGAGGTAATTTTAACAAAGTAAATGTGCCCACGAGTTTGCTCAGGTTACATCAGCCACAGAAGCAGATGGCATAAGGAAACTGGCCCCAGCTTAGGGGTGTGAGGGAGGCTAGGTGTAGGTGGTAACATCTGTGCTGAGCTTCAAGAGCTGAGTGGGGCATGCATGCTCAAGGCTGGGAGGTGAGGAGCACACTAGAGAGAAGACCCAGTAGCAGAACAATGGAGCAAAATGGAGGACGGAGCTGGAAGCAAGGTTGGGAGCAACAATTTGTGAAGAGCTACATATCTGAATGCTGAAGTGTGGCTTTCAGAGGCTTGATGACTTTCCCCACGTTCTTTCTCTTCCTCTGCCAATAGAATACTATAGATTTGAGCTGAATGCATGACCTATTGGAATAATGATTACACATCCAGACTCAGTAATTCTGTTCCTTAAGCAAAACTCAAGAGAAATAAAAACATGGCTACCCAAAGATATGTACTCACGGTTTCATTTCAAAAAAAAAAAAAAAGAACAAAAACAGACCAATCTGGAAACTTGTCATCAATACCAGAATGACCATTTGTGGATTACAGAGCAAGGAAGAGGGGGAAATCACCTGACATGGAGCACGGACAAACTGCATAGGTAAGGTTGAGTGAAAGGGTGTCATGAGGAATGTTGCAGTTTTCAGAGTTCCAGAAGAGAGAATCTGTAGCAATTTACAGACATCAGGGCAGTTGCTACTTCCTCTTCCTCATGGACTGCACAGGGAAGCCCACAGAGGCCCTGGAGGAGATGCATTCACTCTTTGTACTTTACCAGTGCCAATAGTGAGCACCCCAGCCCCCTCTCCCCCCCAATCCAATGTCTTCACAAGCCAGGAGCCAAATTTCAGGACTCAAGAAGTCCAGGGACCGACTAAAGTCTCACTAACATGGCCACTTAAACATGAGCTCAACAATAGACATGTCAAAGTGCATGGCAGAAAGAACAAGAGGCCTCAAACCTACACAAAGAACTACAGGCAACCAAGGAATTCTGAGAGCAGGACAAATAGTCTTCCTCAGGGAATAGCCCCCAAAGTGATTATCCAACACTAAGTAGTCATCCCTAAAACCACACATGCAAGTGAAGCAACAGTACACATACTGAGCAGTTATAGTTGGGAATATATATGTACACATATACATATAACAATTAAGGAGAAAATAGGCCATGAATTTTAAAGAAAACAAGGTATATAAGGGAAGATTTGGAGGGAGGATAGGGGAGAAATGATATAATCACAAAAATAAACAAAAATAAATAAAATAACAAAGTCCAAGACTGGAGTTACATACAGCTCAGGAGTAGAGTATTTGTCTAGTGTGCTCCAGGCCTGGGGTTGCATCCCAGTGCCACATCCCTTCTGACCCCTCCAATAAAGAAATGTAAATTGAAAGGCTCAATATCATTTCCTACTGTTGGCATTACACATTTTAATATCGTCTATTTTCACTTAGAATTGATATTTCACTTCTTTCAAGCAATATACCTTTCTTTTTCTATCTATACTGTCTTCCACTTTTTTCAAACTATCCATTGTTTGTGTGAATTAAAAACTGGGTCCATACCACATTGGTGAGTCAAAACATTTTCATGAAAATAATCGACTCACTTTTATAATGGTGCTAAAAATTCTGATAATACCTTCTGAACCTTTTTTATTCTTACTTTTTTTCTAGATATGACATCAAACCAAACCTTTAAAAACAAAGTACTGGTGGGGATTTGTCGGGGGTCTGGGTGTGTGCATGTGGAGGTCCAAAGACAACTTTGTGGAGTTGATTCTCTCCTTCCACCTTTGTGTGGGTTCCGGGGATTGAACTCAGGCCATTAGGTCTGCATGGGAGCACTTTAGCCCAGGGACAGCTCCCTGGCCCTGGCCTGTCTTATCCTTACCATGTTAACACTTTGGGAACTCTTTCTTGTTTAGAGCTTTTGTAGCCCAGGCTGTCCTCAAACTGCTCATACTCTTCCCTCAGTCCCTGAGTTCTGGAACTTCAGGTCTAAGTCATCAGGCCAGACTCTATGAGGTCTTTGGTCCTGAAATATTTAATGTATGAAACTTATTATGTTCTCTTAGATTTTCTTCTCATTGATGATCAAAATTTTTCACTCAATCCACAAGTTTTAATAGTATTTTGAAGAAACATATATTGTGTAGTACTAAAATATTTTTGGTATTATAATTTGTATTTTGGTTTTATTTATTTTGTGAGCACTAAACACAGGGCCTCACATATTAGACAAGCAGTTTGCCAATAAGAGAGTTACATTCTCAGTTCTACTTTCACTTTTCAACAAAATTTTTGTACCTACTGTCCTGTCATGAACATAAATAAGATGCTCAAAATTTTGTCTGGGAGGAAAAAAAAGAAAATCAAGCTACATTTTTATTCCAGAACTTTGTTTTGTAAAATACAAATTTTATTTTGTGCTGAGTTCTTACAGTATTAAAGCAAGTTGAGGTCTGGACTCTGTTACTATTTTAACATCTTCATTGTCCTGAAGATTAACAAGATTTAAGATTCATGCTTATTGTTTTTAATACACAAAATCAAGGGACCAGAGAGATAGCCCAGCAGTTAGGATCATTTGCTGCTCTTCTAGTGGACTGAGTTCAGTTCCGAACACCCGCATCAGATGGTACCCTCTTCTAGCCTCTAAGAGCACCTGCACTCACACTTAGCAAATACACACACAATCAAAAATAAATCTCAAAGAAATACTTAATCAAAACTTCATTCAGATTGTCTCTTCTAGGCCATCTGTTTCTAGTATTTAACATCGTTAAAATGAATAAATGCAAAAACACTGCACACCTTTAAAAAAGAAAACACCTCACATTGTGCTGTTGTGGTGGCACACACCTAGTCTCAGCACTCAGGAGGCAGAGGCAAGTGGTTCTCATGAGTTCAAAGTCAGCTCCAGAACAGTCAGAGCTTCAGAGAGAGACCTACTTTAAAAAAAATCAAAACCAGCCGGGCGTTGGTGGCGCAAGCCTTTAATCCCAGTACTCGGGAGGCAGAGGCAGGCGGATCTCTGTGAGTTCGAGACCACCCTGGTCTACAAGAGCAAGTTCCGGACAGCCTCCAAAGCCACAGAGAAACCCTGTCTCGAAAAACCAAAAAAAAAAAAAAAAAAAAAAAAAAAAAAAAAAAAAATGGTGGCGCACGCCTTTAGTCCCAGCACTAGGGAGGCAAAGGCAGGCGAATCTCTGTGAGTTCGAGGCCAACCTGGCCTACAAAGCTACACAGAAAAACCCTGTCTCGAAAAACCAAAACAAAAAAACGAAAAGAACTTCATCTTGTGCTAACACAGTATACTGAGGTAGTGAGTTCCCTAAACCCACCAGTATTTGTGTAATCCGAATGCAACTTAAATTCAAATGCCCCTTAAAAGACACAGGCTGTCAAGAGTGTTTCTCAAGTCATGGCCACCACAAAGGTTGAAGTCAGGACTTGGCTGTATGGAACCTAATCCCAGCGCTCAAGGAGCACAGCAAGAAGTCCCTTTCTGACTTAGCAAACGGCACTGAAATCAGACACCCCTGCAAAAAAGCAAATTCCACAGTGTCCCACCTCACCCCGTCCCCTTCACACAGCCTTTGCTTCAGCCCAACAGGCAGGATTCTTAGTCCTGAGGATCTGGAGCAGCCAGACTTGGCTCGGTTTCTTCATCTCTCCTATCTCTAGTTCCACAGAGCACGGGGAGACCTTCCCGGAACGCGCGGCGCCGAGTGCCACACCGAGCCGCCAGACCCGGCCTCCCCCGACCGTCCTCCACCGCAGGAGCTCAGGCATCCTCGGAGGAAGGCGACATGCTATGCAGGATCCAACACGGCTGTCTGTCGCGCGAGTCGCGCAACAGCCGAGGCCTACTGGGTCCCGGCATGCCTCCACTGGCACTGAAGGTCACCGACAAGGAAAATCGAATCGTCTGGCCTCTCGGCCACAACGTGAACCGTCTCTAAACCACACAGCCGGAGTCTGTCCTGACTTCCGACCGGGTCTGCGCAGTTGCACACGCCCACTTCCCGCGTGCCCCGATAGACATCTTCCCGACAACCCCTCCGCTCCCGTTGCATGACGGGAGTTGTGGTCTTGGCGCAGGCTGTGCGGCGGGCGCGCGTGGCAGGAAGCGGAAGCGGCCGATGGCCCATCCCCGGCCCCGCCCCGCCGCGCCGCTCGCCGCCGGGCTATCACTGACGTGTCTCTAGGCTGAGGAAAGGCGCTCCGGAGCTAGCAGCGTCGCCTCACTCGAAGTAGAGTGCAGCCGAAGCAGGGCGTGGAGTCGGATCAGCCGCCGCCATGGCGAGTGAGTCCCTTGGAGCCACCCCGGCGCGGGCGGGATGCGTCCCCTTTCCCTGCTTGGGCGCCGGCCGGCCGTGCTACCAGATCCCGGCGGAACGCGGCCTGCCCCGATACCCCTCGTCCCCGCGCCTCCAGACCGAGCCCTCTGGGTCCCTGTGCCCCCACCTCCGGCTCCCACTCGTGCCCGGCTTCCTCCGAGTGCCCACAGGTTACTCACTACCTAACTACTTCTCTTTCTGTTTCTTCCATCAAAGTCAAATTTCTGGAAGTCATCAAGCCATTCTGTGTCATCCTGCCGGAAATTCAGAAGCCAGAGAGAAAGGTAAGTCCCTTGGATGGTGGTCAAAGAAGCCTTGAGAAAGTGGGCGCTGAAGTTTACAGTACAATTAAAGATGGCCTCAGCACACGGAATGGAAACTGCCCCTCTGGAGTGTGGCAGTGTGCTGGGATACTCACGGGAGCTGTCGAAAGGTGACCTGGTTCTGTGGGAATTCTCATGAAACCATCTTGTTTTCATTTGGAACATCTTGAGTAGATGGTAACAAAGCCTCGGGTTTGCTTGTGTCCCAAACTGGGTCTGAGCAGTGATTGAATAAGACCTCAGTTAGGATCCCAGATTGAGTTACCCACTTCTTCCTCCAACAGGAGCAGCTCTCGGGGTGTTTGTTTCGTCTAGGAGGTGATTTAGTATCTAGTTTCCAAAGGAAAAAGCCAGTCATGTAATCGATATGAACGTGTTTGTTATTTTTTTTTTATGTATGCTACCTCAGCATTAAGGATAAATGCACTTGATGAAGTCTGCTGCCGTTGACAGCAGGTGCATTAAAACGAGGAAAGATGGAAATGTAGCACTGTGAATCTTAATCAGAATTTCCATGGCTGTCAGCTTCAGACCAAGGATAAATGTTTCTAATGTGAGATTGTCCAATGAAGCAAAGTCCAGGCCTGTTGGTTACAGAAAACAGTGAAGCCACTTTGTGTCCCTGTCTTTCCAGACTGTGTCATACATTCCCGTATGGCATCTGTAGTTGGCATTCACGTGGATAATCAGTGTCTACTCCTAATTTTTTTTTTTAACTTAAGATAGTTTCATACAAATGCCTTGTAGTATCCTAGCTATCTTTAACAGGTTGATATGCTAAACTTCCTCTGCTCCACCTCAATGCAAAGAATCTGGCTCTAGGGCCAAGAAGCCCACCCAAGTCCCACCCTTTACCTTCTTTCTTCCATAGTCCTGTGACCTTGGCCTGGCGGAATAAGGGAGATGTGTATAAGGTATAACTGTGGCCCGGGTAGGGAGTAAATCTAATGGGGCTTTTGAAAGATGACTAGAAGTTGCCTTGAGAGTATGGGAAGGATTCCAGGTAAAAGGAGTGTATGGTTTGCTTACACAGTGAAGACAAAGCATTAGTGTGCTTGGATGGTAGGTTGTTAGATACAGTTCTTAATGGTTTTAAATGTAAAGGCTAAAAGAAATACAAGGAAGATAAGTAAGGTGGCTGTGCAGATTAGAAATGGCCTTGGCCTTAAGGGAAAGGCCTGGAATGTAGAGGTTGAATCATGGCACTGAATGAGGTTCGATTTGGGGCTATTTCAGAGGCAGAAGATGCAAGACTTAGATGAAAAGCTTTTGAGGTTTTTCTCTTAAATGATGAGGAGAGGAGGCTTACTCATTTAAAATAGTCTAGAAAACCATGTCTCCTTTTTCTCTAACAGATTCATTACATGGGCTGGGAAAGTGGCTAGTGATGGACATGAAGCCCTTATCTGGTGTTCAACACCATAGTAGCTAGTAGACTCCACCTTCATTACAAGCTTGTCTTTCTGGTTCCTGTGAGATGGTGTTTCCCCCTCATTAGTGCTGAATTCTTGGTGTGGTAGACAGATGGGAAAGACAAATGTTCTTGAGAGACAGAGGAGGGATGTCAGCCCCCCAGCTGCCTCTGTAGGTTTGAGCTTCAAATTCACCCCACCCATGTTTGGATCCGATACTGTGTCTTTCTGGGAGTGACTACAAGCGGAGGACCAGAGAGCCAGCACACCAAGTCAGTCCTGGTTGGGGCTTTTCTTGGCATTTCATTCACTTAATATCATTAGTCTTTAGCTGTCTGTTAAACCTGTCTAAAACTGGTCTGGTACTGTGGTCAGGCACTCCCAGTAAAGACCCTGAAGAGCTCTCACTATCTAGTAGCAGTGGTCTCTTGGACAGGAGGAACCTAGAGGGTTTCTAATCAGGCTAGATAGTAAAATGATTTGTGTTGACTGTTTCATTCACTTGATTTGTTACCTTTCTGATTGTTGTGACAACAAAGGAAGGATTATATTTGGGCTTTCTATCCAAGGCTCATCATGGCAAGGAAAGGCATGACAGCAGGATCTTAAGGCACATTGGTCACACTGCATACCCAGTCAGGAAGCAGGGACAGGTGAACACTGGTGTTCGGCTCTCACTTTCTCACTTTTATTCAGTCCTGGACTCCAGCCCATGGATTGATGCCACCATGTTTACGGTGGATCTTCCCCCTCCAATTAACTCAGTCCAGAAACTCCTCCATACTCATATCCAGACATTTGTTTCCATGGTGTTTCTGAATCCCGTGAAGTTGACCATCAAGGTTAACCATCACACTTACATATCCAGTAAGGGGTGAAGATTAACTGATGCTGCCGAATTCTAGTGAGCAGGTTACATATCAGCTCTTCCTGTCCTCCCCAATGATAATTACAGGCTTTACTGATTGGTTCCAGGTTTTTTGATTAGTTGAGTCCAGAATCTGAAGACTACTCATGGAGTACCGTAGGGAAGTAGTTGCTGGGCTTTGAGGCTTGTTGGTGTGGCAAGTCACTTTCTGCTGCAGTGTTCATCCATCTTGAGTCTCGACTGTTACTGTGAATCATGAAGAGCTTAGCTTTGGGCTCAGATCACTTGAACTGCAGGATTTGGGGCAGATTAGACATTGCTGGTCACTTTGTTCATTGTCATGTAAAGATAATCTGTGCAATGGGAGGATTATCTGAGATGAAGACCCACATGGGTCTTTGTATCACATCTTAGAGAAAGAACATGGTATACACTACTTGATGTTACAGTGTGGTACACATTTGACCAGCCTCTAATAAGTGGGACATGAGATCTTATTTGAATCTGTATTTATTTACCTGTGGAATAATTTATTAATTTAATTTGATTCATTCCTTTCCAGATTCAGTTTAAGGAGAAAGTGTTGTGGACAGCCATTACCCTCTTCATCTTCTTAGTATGCTGCCAGGTAAGCCCTGCTTGGGTGTTGGTAGGGATGTGTGGGCTGGGAACATGTGTGTGATACCTGCTCTCTGTCTGTTTCCAGATTCCCCTGTTTGGCATCATGTCTTCAGACTCAGCCGACCCTTTCTACTGGATGCGAGTGATTCTAGCCTCTAACAGAGGTAGGACTCTGCTCACTCTGCCTTTCCCTGCACAGTGGTTATGAGAGCCTGGTTTACTTCAGTTATAGGCTTGGCTTTTATGAAGCTCAGAATGTTTGTGAAGATGCATAGCTTAGAAAATAGAGGATGCTGGTGTGGAAAAGTAATGCAGCATTTGCTGATGAATGCATCCTGTTAGGTCTGAATGCAATACAGAACCTGTAATAACAAGATAAGGCTGCATTGTAGGAAATTGTTTAAAATATGGAGAAGCTAGAATACTTTTTTAAATACTGAAAGTGATAACATTCTTTAGAAGGTGTAATTTGTTTCTCAGCTGAATCTTTTCCATATCTATGTTACGGTGTGCCTAAAAGAAAAATGGTTTTGTAAGCCCTGACCCATGTGTGCAGTGAGGATTTTGAATATGTATGTTGATAGTACATTTGATTAACTTATTTAAAAAATATAGTGCACATTAAATTGGAAATCAGAAGTATGACTGGTTTTAGCATAATGGAAGGTGGGAGTTTATTCACAGCCAGATAGAGTTGTATCGGCCCATTTCCAGACTCCGGGAATACCTAAAATCTTATCCTTTCTTACTAATTGATGAGGAGACCAACCTCTTATCTGCATGAGGCTAGGCCAATCTGTTGGTAAATTGACAGGCAGCAGTCTGTTTGGATAACATTCCTGAACAGAATAAGATGCTGCCTGGCAGGGTAGAATGCATTAAGCTGTGCTGTAATCATTGATATTTGGAGGTGGTTCTGTAAGTTGAATGCTGCTAGCAAATGGAATGTTGTTGAATTTGTATAGGAGTACCCCCAGTGTGGCTCATTGTATTTAACCATGTTTGTTCTCCCAAGCTAATGTTGGCTGTGTCTTGCCTCCTTCCCTAAAGGTACCTTGATGGAACTGGGCATCTCTCCTATTGTCACCTCTGGCCTTATCATGCAGCTCTTAGCTGGTGCCAAGATAATTGAAGTTGGGGACACCCCAAAAGACCGAGCTCTCTTCAACGGAGCCCAAAAGTGTAAGAAAGATCGTACATAATGTTCTAGTGTCCATAGTTGAGAATGGGGATTTTCTGTAAAGCTTCTGGGATTAAAGCAGTTGTGCTCTGTGTTCTGACCTCCTTGACTGCCCCTCTGCATGCACTAGGGAAAGGCAGGGCTAGGAGTTCATCCCTTTATCGTGCACAGTTTACACTCATACATCAGAGCCTCATTGAACAAAGCTGAGGGGCTGTTGTGTCTGCTGCTTCATTATTTGTAGGATGTTTTTCCTGTGTGCGTGAAAGGGGCTTAAGAGGGAAGAGGGCACTCCTCTATGTCCTAGCTCCTTACCAGCTTGTGAAGTGAAGAAAGTGAAGTGGACATTTTGAAGGCTCTGTTTGCCATCTGGAAAGTGGGGTAGTGGTGTTTGCCATACAACAAGTGATGGGTATTATTGGTAACTGGCTAGCCACCAGCATCAGTGTTCTACCTCTGGAATAGGTTATTCAGGAAAAGTTTGCAAATCTTTTTCTGCCTTAAGAATTTAGGAGTATTGGGCTGGGTGTGTAGCTCAGTGGTAGAGCACTTGTAGCATGCCCAAATCCCTGGGTTTGATTGCTGATACTAAGGGGATTGGGGGAGAGAATTCTATTAAATAAGCAGGCTTACTGAGCATGGGTTTTTGTTTTGTTTTAATTTTTTACATTTTTTTATTCGTGTGCATGTGCCATAGTGTGTGTGTGTGTTTAGGTCAGAGAACAACTTGCAGGTGTGATTCTCTCCTTCCATAGTGTGGGTTATGGGCATCACGCTCAAATCATCCAGCTTGGCAGCAAGTGTCTTACCTGCTGAGCTATTTTTCTGTACCTGTTTGTTGGTTTGGTTTGGTTTTACTTTATTTACTGATGAATTGATTGATTGATTGTGTTTGTATGCATGTGTGTGACATGGGTCTGTAAAGAGGAGTCTGAGGATAGCTTTGTGGAGTTGCTTCTCTTTCTTCTCCTTTATGTGGCTTCTGAGGGTGGAACTTGGGTAATCAGGTTGCATGGCAAGTAGTTCATCAGCATAGACATCTTGGCAGCCCCTAGACAATTTTTTTAAATTTCAAATAGGGACTATACTAGGCAGTCTCTTGGGAAAAAAATTTTTTTTTTGTTTTGGTTTTTTGAGACAGGGTTTCTCTGTATTGCTTTGGGAGTTGTCTCTGTATTGCTTTGGGAGTTGTAGACCAGGCTGGCCTCGAACTCACAGAGATCTGCCTGTCTCTGCCTCCCAAGTGCTGGGATTAAAGGTGTGAGCCACCAATGCCTGACAACTCTTGAAAATTTAAACTGAAATTTAAGTCCTCGCTCTTATTTACAACCAATACGGTGTGTCAATTCCATGATGCCTGGTAACGACATATAATGAGATTCAAGGAACAGTCTGCAGAGGAGCTCTATCAGAGGTAGTGGGACCAGAAGACATTTGAAACATAAACTTAGATCAGAAGGATTGGTTTTATCCCAAGGTCTTCTGTGCTCTGGACTTGGATATGAGTGGTGAGCCTTACTGTGGCCCACTTCGGGCTCAGTTTGGAGATCCCTGGACCCTAGGGACCTGCAGGGCACTTGGGTGCTTCAAGGTTGCCAACCCTGTTTTTCATCTCAGATTTCGATTGGGATTCAGCTGCCTTTTCTAAGACCATATCGCCGGCTTCGGCTTTTCCTCCATCACTAAGCAAGAAGTGAGGCTGGAAAGCAGCTGTTCTTTTGTTGAGAGCACCCGTGTTTTCCCGCAATTTGACAGTGTGACTGCTGAGATTCCTTCTCCAAGCTCCTTGGAGACAATGTCAGCATTGTGGTTTTTCTTCTCAGTATCAGGCATTCGGGTGTTTTTAGCTACTTGCTATGCTGTGTACTGTCCTGCTTTGCTAACACAGTTCTCTTGATTTCTAGTGTTTGGCATGATCATTACTATCGGTCAGTCCATTGTGTATGTGATGACCGGCATGTACGGGGACCCTTCGGAGATGGGTGCTGGGATCTGCCTGCTGATCACCATTCAGGTAATTGTTATCCCCCACCCCCATCCAAAATACCAAATCTCAGCTGTGCCTTCAAGAAGCTGGAGGTTGTGGGTTTGCCCTTCTTAACCCACCAGAGGACTCATGGTCACTCAGATTTCTGTTTTTTATACTCAAGAATCCAATTATTGAGGAAGAAGAGAGCCATGTCCATCGGGAGCAGTAGCATGATCTATTTGGGTTTCTTTAATCTTTTTTTTTTTTTTTTTTTTTTTTTTTTTTTTCCCACCTTTTTTTTTTTTGTGAATCACATGAGGGAAAATTTAAATCTCATGCCTGAACTGGGTTCTGGCATCTCCCTTTTCATTGCTACCAATATCTGTGAGACCATTGTGTGGAAGGCTTTCAGCCCCACCACTGTCAACACTGGCCGAGGTAAGGACCCCAGGAACTCATGCTGGAGTTTAACAGAGGTTCTGTCTGTGGTAGGTATAAGCTCCTGATTTTTCTGTGCATCTACCATGTATTTAAATACAGGTGGGCTTATGCTTATGGCAGTACCCAATATAGATTTTTCATATGCCTCATTATGGTTGGCATACTAGATATAAGTTGGGTCTGGCCTCACTTCTCATCTCAGTAAGAATTGTATTACATGGTAAAGTGCTTTGTGTTTTAACCTCTGTCTTAGAGGAACATCAAGTTGTAGTCACTTCGTTGACATTGAAATCCTTACCTTTATGTATTTTGAAAGTTTACTCTGGATCGTTTTGGGAGGAAAAAAAAAAACCAAAATGGAACGATTAAACAAAAGCATTTGATCATGTTTGCCCTTGGGCTCAGATCCTGGCTGTCCTATTAATGGTCTGTAGGTAGTGTGAGCACATCCCCCCTACTGCTGCTCTGGGTCATCATGTAGTGAGAGGGTCATGACACATAACTAATCCCAACCCTCCAGAGACTGAGGCAGGAGGATCTTGAATTTGAGGTCAGTCTGCACTATGTAGTGAGGCCATGCTCTTACAAAAGTAAGAGCTGACAGTGTAGCTCAGTGGTAGAGTTTTGTGCATGGTTTGATACCTGGTACCACAAAAAAAGGAAACATGAAACCACATGATGCCTGGCTCATAGTAGGTACCGATCAAATATTAGTATGCTATGGCATATTCATTAAGAGTGCCCTGGGAATGGGAATGTTTCTAATCAAAATATGTAAAAAAACAAGAGAAGCCTTAGAATAAGACTTACTAGGGAAAGAGACTTTTGTCGCTAAATGTGTTATTTATTTAGAAGAGTCTTATGAAAAATATTTGGGCATGTTTTCATGAAATTGAATGCAGAGGCAGTTTCTGCCTCCAAAGGCCGTGTAATTCTGTACATCTAATGAACAAAAGCTGTCCCCTAATAAAATCAAAGGCATAATGGAAGAGACTGGGGCAATGGAAGGCAATGCCTGTCAGACTTGGCTGTTGAGAGGCAGCAGGTGAAGGTGCAGGGATGCCTGTGTTAGAAATGATAGCAGGGAAGGAGCGGGGTGGGATGGGCAGTCCAAGCTAAGGGACCAGCTGAGAGTAATGCTGCACTCTGGAGCTGGATGCAGCACAGCAGAGCTGATGCACTCTCACTGCAGAACACACTGCTGGGGAAGAGCCAGGGCAGCCTCGAGCAGACAAGATGGAGTAGCGTGGACTGCTTGTTAGGGAAGAAGATGTGGGAAATGGGGCTGAGGTGGAAAACTGAGAAGTCACTGGGGGTGTCTCCATGGCCCGGCATGGTGGATATGTAGTCTGAAAGTGTGATTTGATTCCCTGGCTGCCGGTGTGGGATGAGCTGCACCAAGGAGCCAAGGATGACAAACAAGGGACAGAAGTATACAAGGGGCACATGTGACTTGCAGCCAGAAGGGCTGCTTCAGCTTGGCTAGCTCACCACTGCGGCTTCCGTGGGTGGTTCAAAAGCCTAGGACCAGGGTTAGTGTGCATGGTGTGCCCTGAGGTGGAGCTAAGTGTGTGGAGATGGACTTGTTCCCAGAAATTGGGCAGATACAACAATAATTGTAAAAATTAGAAGATCTGGGATCTAATCCTGGTGTTGCTGGCACTGCTATGGGTTACCATGACAAAATGAGGAAGAAAGGGCCACAGGGAAAGAGGTATTACAGAGTTGATCTGGGCATCTCAGTTGAGCAAAATCTTGAAAGACATGAGAGAAGCAACTAGTAGTGCTGGAGCCCTAAGCTGAGGTTGTCCCCAAGAGGCTGGAACAGGGCAAAAGCAGAGCACTTGGTGGAGAGCTTAAAAGGCCACTTGAGTGGAAGCACAAGCACTCCCTCTTCCCCTGGTCTACCTGGGCCACCCCTTCTGTTAAATAAGAGGCTTGTCCGGCTGCAGCTCTCTTATCCCTGAATACTGATTGGGAGATAGGCCATAGCTGAAAGGTAGGAGGGTATAGGTGGACTTTTCTGTCTCACCAGCCAGTTCTAAACAACCACTCAGAAACTTATTAATTATAAATGCTTGGCCGATAGATTAGGCTTGTCTCTAACCAGCTCTTATAACTTAAATCAACCCGTTTCTATTCATCTGTGTGCTGCCCCAGGCTTGTTTACCTCATCTATGAACTTTCCATGTTTTATCTTCCGCATCTGCCTCGTGACTCTTTGTGACTCCCTGACTTGGCCCTCCTTCTTATTCTTAGCATTCTCTTAGTCTGGTTCTCCTGCCTAACCTTATCCTACCTGTCCGTCGGTCAATTTATTAGCCAATGAGAGTAATACATAGTTACAGTGTACAAAGATTGCTCCACAGCGTTGGGCTTGCTCCAGTCTCCCCTTGCCCTATGGATATTTGGGGCCTCTTCCTGCTCCTTTCACCTTTCAGGTGCCTGTCTGTTGCCAAGCCATGACCTGTGGGAGGGTGGAGACTAATCTCAGGCCATACATTCATGATGTTCCTCCTTGTAGGATTATTGGTGTTTGGAACTGAGAATCCAAGCTTACCCCACTCTCTCCCACTGTGGGCAGCCCTCTTCAGAGACTGGGGTGAATGCTTATACTGCCCAGATTCTAGAACAGGACTTGGCCTTTTCCAGGCAAAATGTGTCATGAATATGTTTAGATTGGTGACTGTCCTTCCACACATCTGGTGACCTAAGAAATGAGAGCAACCAGCCCATCTCACAAGAGAATAGCCCAGCGCTGTAGTTTGCTTCTCTGAACTCCTTCATCTTTTCCCTCAGTTTTGGTCATTAAGAAGTAGAGAGGCAAAGCGAGCTGGTCTTTGTCTTCCACCACATCTGTGTTCTACTCTGCCCACAGGGATGGAATTCGAAGGTGCCATCATTGCTTTGTTCCACCTGCTGGCCACCCGCACAGACAAGGTCCGAGCCCTTCGAGAGGCATTCTACCGCCAGAATCTCCCTAACCTCATGAACCTGATTGCCACCATCTTCGTCTTTGCTGTTGTCATCTATTTCCAGGTATGTCCAATGGCAGCTAAGTAGGTCTGCCTTGTACAGAGTCAAGCTCAGCATCATTGTTCTCGGCTTCACAGTTCTTAGGTTTATGGTTATTGGTCTCTACCTTGTTTCTGAGTAGGGCAACTCAACTGCTAGCTGTCTTCTTTTAATTGTACTGAACCTCATACTTAACAGGATTTTTGTATTGGGGATTTGTTTGTTTGAGACAGGGTCTATCTAGCCCTGGCTGACCTGGGCTATGTAGATCAGGCTATCCTTAAACTCACATAGATTCACCTTCCTCTGCCTCCCAGATGTTGGGATTAAAGGCTTATGTCATCATGCCCAGCTTTCTTTGCAGTATTTTGATGTTCACTAAAAGAAGTTGCAGCAGTTAGCCAGGTTTGGTGGCTCATTTAGGTGGGTGGGACATAAAGCAAAGAGTTCAGGGACAGCCTGGTGTATGTACTGAGATCCTGTTTCAAAACAAACAAGGTTGGTGAGATGGCTCAGTATATACAGGTGATTGTTGCCGAGCTTAGTGACCTGAGTTCAATTCCCAGGACTCTTGTGGCTGTCCTTTGATCTCCACTTGTACACTACAGCATGCATGCATTCCCGTGTGCACACACACACACACATTTAAATAAAATCAAAAGAAGGGACAGCACTTGAAGACATGTGTTTGTGGTGAGGAATACTTTTTTTGAGGCCAGGTAACTCAGTAGTGACTCCTGCTGAATCCAGCCAGCTGTCTGCTTAGTAACAAGTCAGTCTTTTGGGGCAAGCTGAGTATCTGCAGTTGAATCAGTAAGAAGTTTGAGTCTTCTGTCTTCTGTCCTATCCTAGTGTCCTGGGCCCTGGGTTTCTAACAGTAAAGAAGAAAGATGCTCTGGTATCCAAGGTTTCAGAAGGGTCGGTGGTATAGATAGGAAAGCTTAGCTCTTCTATTGATGATTACATCATGGATGTTCACTGTCTGAGAACCACTGACAGGATCTGGAGCTGCCCATGTAGGCCTTTTTGTATGGGAAAGAAAAGGGTGTGTGCTCTCAGACACCATCACAGCTAGGAGCCCAGTGGCAGAACTGACACCCAGAACTACCTATCTTGTTGCCAGCCTGACTTCCCTAGCCACACTGGGGACTGTAACCAGAATAGGACAGTTAAGGGGCATATTGTTGTGTTTCCCTGTAGGGCTTCCGAGTGGACCTTCCAATCAAGTCGGCTCGTTACCGAGGCCAGTACAACACCTATCCCATCAAGCTCTTCTACACCTCCAACATTCCCATCATCCTGCAGTCTGCTCTGGTGTCCAACCTCTATGTCATCTCACAGATGCTGTCAGCACGCTTCAGTGGCAACCTGCTGGTTAGCCTGCTGGGCACCTGGTCGGTGAGTGTCACTGGGTGAGGTAAGATTGTTTGTATTGATGCAGCTAGTTGTGTTTTGTGGTAGGGTGTCTTAACTCAAGACCAAATATTTCACTCAAAGGGGAAATTGTTTAATTGCCTCTTATATTGCAGTTCAGTGAGATTGCCTGTGGGCATGCTTATGACACCACAAGGCATCTGCTCGGAGCTCCTTGCTGGCTCCGTGCTGTGGCATGCTGAAGAAGACTTATGTAGTTGGACTTTCCTTTGGGCCACCAGCTCACAATGACACAGAGGCTTATTATTTATGAAAGCTTAACCTTCGCTTAGGCTTGTTTTAACTAGCTCTTATAACTTAAATTAACCCGTTTTTATTAAACTATGTTCTGTCACATACTGCCCATCCTATTTCTTCCGTGTTTCCCAGCGTCTCTTTCAAACGCTTAGATTCCTCCTCCTTTCTCTGCCTGCAAGTCCTATACCTCCTGCTTAGCTATTGGCTGTTGAGCTCTATTATATTAATCACAACAATATATCTTCACATAGTCTACAAATATCTCACAAGAGACTTCTATGTCTTACTCCTAGGACACATCATCTGGGGGCCCAGCCCGTGCTTATCCAGTTGGTGGCCTGTGTTACTACCTATCTCCTCCGGAATCATTTGGCTCAGTGCTGGAGGACCCTGTCCATGCTGTCGTGTACATTGTATTCATGCTGGGATCCTGTGCATTCTTTTCTAAAACATGGATTGAAGTTTCCGGTTCTTCTGCCAAAGACGTAGGTCTAAGTCGACGTTTCTCCTAGGGAGATGAGGCAGCTGCTGGCGCCCAGATAGCCAGCCCCACTTGTTAGCACTTTATAAGTAGTAGTTTATGATATACCGGCTTCCCCTTTGGTGGGACTGTATGGAAGCTCTGAGGGCAACAGATGGGAGATTGACAGTTGGCTCTGAGAACCTGAGGCCAAACCTAGAAAGATAGACTACTGTGTGAGTTCAATGCTGCAGGTTAAAAGTCCTCCATGAAGTTTGTTAGGACTGGGGAGGGGGAGGGGGTCCTGTAATTGCTTAGTTCCACCATGAAGCACCCACCTACCCCAGCATCTGGCTCATGTGCTATCATTTGGGTCATGCAGGTTGCAAAGCAGCTGAAGGAGCAGCAGATGGTGATGAGGGGCCACAGAGAGACCTCCATGGTACATGAGCTCAACCGGTAAGTGTGGTCACTAAGCCTGAACACTAGTGGGACCACAATAGCCCTGTACAACTCCTGTCTAGCACAGACGGCAAAAGGGGAGAAGGAAGCACACAGCCAGAGTGTTGAAATGGTATGGGTGGTGGTGACTGAGCAGTGCTGGCTTAGGCTGCATGGGCATGATTGTACCCAGAGCAAGCTGAAGGTATCCTCATAGTGGGTGACTCCTGGCACAGATTAAACTAAGGTACCTGGAAGGGGTGGTTAGTGTTAGAAAATGACCAAACCAGAGACTAGAGACTGCCAGGCTCAGCCACAGGTGATGGAGGAATATGGCAGTTACCTTGCAGAGAGAAGAAGGAGACTGGGGCTCCAGGAGCAACAGGTGACCCTGAGCAGACCTTTCCTCATCATAGTTCTGAAGCTGCCTCTTGGTAGGCAAACAATGCCTGATGCTTTCAGACCAGTCTGTCACCATGGTTGGCTCTTCTAGAGTCACTCAGAGCAGCCAGATACTTCGTAGAGTGGGTGGGTACTCCTACGAAGCTTGCTGACCTCACTGAAGGAGGCCATCACAGGAATGCAAGAATTGCAAGTTTCCTGTCAGTTTCTGAGCCAGAGGCAGCAGGGCTTTTTACTTCAGCCCGTAACTCAGACTGCCTAGGAGAAACACCCGTCTTAGCACATCTGCGGATTGTTTCAGCTTTCAGGAGGCAGAAGAACCAAGATGAAGTGTCTTATGTTCTTGTTTTCAGTCTGTTTAAAATCTAGTGTGCCATCATCCATGTTTGGATTTATGCTGGTCACACTCCTGAAGTCCATTGTGGACAGCTTGATGGGCCTATAAGGTTTTCTGGCTCAGCAGGCAACACAGAACTATCTTTCTGTCTGTCTGCAGGTACATCCCCACAGCCGCAGCCTTTGGTGGGCTGTGCATTGGGGCCCTCTCCGTCCTGGCAGATTTCCTGGGTGCTATTGGATCTGGAACCGGGATCCTGCTGGCAGTCACCATCATCTACCAGTACTTCGAGATCTTTGTCAAGGAGCAGAGCGAGGTGGGCAGCATGGGAGCCCTTCTCTTCTGAGCCTTATGTGCCCATGGACCAGGGTGAGGGCACAGGCTCCAGAACTGCCCAGAAAGGATGCTCTTACCATTGGAGTATGCTACCGTGGCATAGGGACTTTTAAATTTTTTTAATTTTTTTTATTTCATATCTTTTCATTCCACTGTGTAAAGTGCTAGGAAATTTCCAATTGAATTTTTGCTTTTTATTCTGGCATTGGCAAAAAAAAAACAATAGAAGTGAATTGTTAGCTGACAGCCAGAGGGTGTGGTAACCGATTGTTCCCAAGTATCCAATGTAATTTTTATTTAAACCCTTGCACTTCTCGGTGCCTGGCAGCTGCAAGGGTCCCAACTGCCCCCAGGCAGTCTGTGGCCCTGGTTGAAGGAAGCACAAACTAGATGTCTGCATGTGTTTTCTGGGGACCTGCTTATGGGGATTGGCTCTCGGGGTGAGGACATCTGGCTTAGGATTCTGTGAGATGCCATCAATCTGTAAAGCAGGGTTCATTGGACAGAGCTGCTACTGGAGGAATAAATGCCCCAGAAGCTGGCCCGCCTGTTACCCTGCCTGTGCTGTGGGTGGCACAGCTGAGCATGCAGATGGATGAGGAGCACCAGGATCTGCCTGCCTGCCATTGCCAGCAAGGCGGGGATTCTAAGCTTTCCTGTAGCCTAGCCAAGTGAGGTAGCTGGGCATATGGAAAGGTTCTCATGCTTGCCTTTCCCAGGTTCCCACTAGAAAGGGAGCTCCTGTGGTAGCCACCTCTGTCTTCCTCCTGAGAACTTCCTGTTCCAGTTTTTAGATTTTTTTTTTTTTTTTTTTTTATTGTCATTAGGACCAAATGGAGACTGGCTCAGGACCTGTAGAAAAATCACACCAGGTTTTGGAGATCTCTTAGGGAGGTTGCTCAAAATCCTGTCTGGAGTTAAGGTGTCTGGGGGTTAGGAGCTCAGTCCCATAGGAGAGCCCCCCTCCCCCAAGACAGATGCTGCCTAGCAGCAAGGATACAAGGCTGTGGTTTCAGTCAGAGCAAGTAGAAATTGTCAGCTCACCTTAAGACACACCAGGGTCCAAGTTGTTCACACAAGGAGGCAAGAGCCCTGGGGGATGTGCAGCCATTTGGTCACAGCCTGCCAGCTATACCTGGGTCCTTCTCACCTCAATGGAAGTAGCAAATGCCTCCCTGACTCAGGGCTCCTAGGGACCCTTGCTGCTGTACTTGCCAGCAAATGGCAGTCAAGGGACAGTTAATCACTTGCCCCTATACAGGTCAGCAGCAGGACCAGATCCCTTGCCCACGGCCCAGAACTCACACCATATCACATGTGGCCTTGTCTAGACCCAGTCCTGAGCAGAGGAGCCTGGTGCCCTCCCAGTCCACAGGGTCTTCTCACTGCCCCTCCTCTGCCACTGCCACAGAGCAGCAGGGCTTCCCACCTATCTTAGGGACTCCACAGCTTCTGGCAGGCAGGTGCAGAGTCCCCAGCTCTGGGTTGTGCTGGGGAGCCCACAGCCTCATCTGCTGCTGTTGCCATCAACTGGGCCTAGTAGCCTGTGGTTGATGGTCAGTGTTAGTGGGTGAGTGGGGATGACCTGGCTTCCAAGAGGACTGTCACTGTGGACACCAAAATGGCTTAACTGAGATACAGTGAAAAAGTGACAAATAAAACCAACTTTTTACAAACTGCCTCGTCATCTTTGTTAACTGCCATTGAGAGCAGAGGACTTGTTTGGTAGTGTTGTTGATGAGCCAGGGCTACCAGTGGACCTGTGCAATCTCCTGGGAGCTGCTCTGCCAAGTACTGCCTGCTCCTTGTGCTCCCCACTCCTGGAAAGCATGGGGCTGGGGCAGTAGAATCCCTGTGCAGGGGTGAGGCTGTGGCTTCCAGGACCACAGTGTACACCTGGGTCCTAAATAGTACTGGAGTAGGCTGCCCAAACCAGGTAGGGGCACAAGTTGGTGGGCACCTATAGTTCTAATTGTCCAGGTGCAGAACATAGCTGGTCACAGGGAGGCTTGGTCTGGCTATGGCTGCTCTGGCACCAGACTTGTAGCCAAAGCATAATATATGCTTGGTGCTGGCCAGAGTCTGATGGGGACAGGTAACCTAGGTAGTATAGCTGGGAATGGGCCTTGCCAGAAGCTTCCTGTTTACACACCCATGCAAGTGGCAGGCCTTGTGGCTCTGACCCCCATCAGCCCAGCTTGTCGTGCTTCCCTAGTCTCCCTTGGGAAAGGTGACAGGGCCGTTCTTGGGCAGGACTGGGAGGGCGTATTCAGCAGGCTCTCTGCTCTGTTCAGTTTTGGAACACATCTTTTGTGTTGAGCCAGGCAGGCTCTCCCCTAGGACTGCTTGGTGGTCAGGGATGAGCCTTCCTGCAGAAGCCTGGTTTCAGCATCACCCCTTAAGACTGCTCAGACACAGGTGAGCAGCCAGCTCTGCCCTGCACTCTCCCTCGCCTGCCTGCCAGCCAGAGCTGCAGAAGCCTAAGCCTGCATGGATGAAGGTGGTGGGGTTCAGGCAGCAGGTAACTGTTGTCTTCTAGAAAACCTCCCACTCACCGGGGGGGGGGGGGGGGGGGGGGGGGGGGGCCCCTTTATCCACAAACATGGTGGGGGGGGGGGGAGGGGGGGTGCGGGTGGAGCG